CAGCTGTCTCCCTAAAGGAAGTACATCATAAGATCTTAACCATAGTCTGATCTAAAGCTGTTTCTCCCTTGTTTGGCATCAAGGCTGTTCCAAAGAATATCCACATCCTAAAAGCAGAAAAAGTAAATTGTAATGATAATAAGTACTCAGTTGACTATGTAAGTATTCTGAAATCTAAAATGAAAATCAGATAGACAGATAAAAGTTCTTGACAAATTGGGTTTCTAAAAGGCTAAGATTGTTTATTCTATGTGCTTTTCTAATTTTTGGCATTTCTTATATACACTGGTACTGGTGTGCAAAAATTAAGGACGAGATGGTTTTTTCAATATAACTTTGTACAAAAGCTTTCCAAATCAACACATTTAATACCGTAAGATCCCCAATACGTAAGACATGAGTAATGTAAGCAACACTTACTAAAGAGAAATCAGAGGGATAAAAAAAGAAGCTTTATTGAAAAAGTAGCATGGAGCGCAATGCGACTGAAGGCCGAAACATCCCTGTGATGGGTGTCCAGCAAGAAACATCCGGTCTTTAATAGGGAATATGATCTCCCCTGACTGCTAGGCAGGTTTCACAGCGTCTGCCCATACTGAGAATGAGGGTGTCAATGAGTTGTTGAGGCATTGCTGCCCATTCATCTTGCAGCGCCAATCGAAGCTCCGGAATCGTTACTGGTGGTAAGGTAGGAGCTGCCAAGCGTCTGCCTAGAAAATCCTATACATGCTCGATAGGATTGATATCCGGAGATCGTGCCGGCCAATCCATACGTTTACGTTCAATATCCTCACTTTCTAAGAGCTGTTCGGCAGCTACTGTGCGATGACATGGTGCACTGTCGTCCATGAAAAGGAACTGCGGACCCATAGCGCCTTTAAAAAGACGCACATATGGAAGAAGGATCTCGTTACAATAACGGGTCCCGTTGACTGAACCTGCGTCGAAGATGTGAAGGTCTGTACGACTACCAAGCATGATGCCTCCCCAAACGAGAACACCGCTACCTCCATACCTGTCCCTTTCAATGATGTTCGAGGGATGATTGCGGCTTCCCGCTCTCTCTCCAGATGAGTATGCGATGAGAATTGCTACTCAGACTGAATCTGCTCTCATCTGTAAAGAGTACTCGTCCCCATTCATTGTCTCTCCAGTTCCGGTGTTCCCGGCACCACAGAGAACGCCTTCTCCGATGGGCAGGCGTTAGAGGTACACATTGTACAGGGCGTCGTGCAAACAGACCACCACCGTGCAGTCTTCTGGCCACGGTAAAACGCGATATCGGTCGTCCAGTCGCCTGTGTCGTGTGTCTAGCGATTTCTCCCGCTGTCTGCCGCCTGTAAGGTTATATACCGGTCATCTGCGGGTGTGCTTCCTCGTGGACGACCACTACTAACCCCCCCCCCAGATAACTGTTGCTGTAGTTTGAAATTGTCTCCAAAGTCGTGAAACGATGCTGTGAGCAATTCCGAACTCTGCAGCCACACTTGTCACACTGCGGCCTTCCTCCAACTTCCCAATGATTCGACCTAGGGTAAAGCATCCAGATGTCGTCTAACAGGTTGATTATTCGCCATTTCTCGCTGAGGCAGCAACTCGGTGTGATTTTAACTGCTATACGGCGTGCAATCTCTTTGCCAGAAATACTGATCTTACACCGACAACATGCTTTATACTACTCAGACACTCCCCCATTACGTCTACTTGCATATCTGCACATGTGCTACCGTACATCACCTTACTTAATCTCCTGATTGGTCTATCTGTCCGCTCTGCCTCTTCGTTCAGCTGATATGCTAATTTTTCGAATTCGTCCTTAATTTTTGCACACCAGTGTATTGCTACGTGTTGTATACTTTTATTCAGCACGATGTAGAAACGTACTGTAGAATTTCTGATCATAATTTAGAATCATCGTCTGCTTGTTAAGTATTTATTCCTTTTAATATAAGCACATTAGCTTTACACAAATGCAAAGGATATGTCATTAATACAACTTGCGAGTGGTAATAATATTTAATTTCCAATTTGCCTGGTAGTATGCTGTAAATAAAAATGTCTTTATTTGAGAATCTTTGATGTGTAATATTTCGGCTCTACTCTAATATGCGCCCTAAGATCCCCAAATGTGGCAATATGTGTTCTGAACTTGTTTTTGCCACGACTGCGTGTTGTATGGCAACCCTTTTGACGTTGAAAACTCTTTTGCTGGAGTGTTTTAATTGCTAGTTGCTTCGAGTCATGCGCGTTTTGAAATGGCCTATGTTGCAATGAGAGACATGGTTGCAAGAGGGTCTGGGAGATTATTTTTAGTGGCTGTGCATGATAGAAGTAAGGAAACGCTGATGCAGTGTATTAGAGAGTTGATTGAGCCTTGTACAACTATTCTTTGGATGGCTGGAAATCTTACAAGGATTTAGAAAAAGAAGGTTTTGAAATTTTTTTTTTTTTTTAACCATAGTATGAATTTTGTGGATAGCGAGTATGGCTGTCATATAAATACCATAGATAGTGCGTGGCTGCATGTTAAAGCTATGTTCTGCTGTCTGAAGAAGCATCCATTATGGTAAGTCCATTTTATTTTACTATTTTTATTTTGTAGAATGTTATGTTCATTGTTTTTTTAATATGAATTCGTTGTATTGTTGTTTTTGAATTATTTTGTAATTTATTTTGGTTTATTTTGTTGATTTGTGCATAATGCCTAGATTGTGCAATTTGTAGATGCTTTTTTAATTTTAAACAGAATGCTGTGTACATGATATTCTTTGAAATTTATTATTGTTATGTTAATTTATTAAAGCGAGGTGTGCATAGTTCATAGATTCCTTCGCTGTCTAGATTGTGCAATTCATGCATGTTTTTTTTAAGTTAAAACATATTGCTGTGTGCATGGATTCTTGTCAAATATTTTTGGTTAGAAACTTTACGTTTTTGCTATCTAATTTTTTTGTTTTTGTTTCGGATTTTTAGATTAAATTGTGTGTTCAAAACGTGGTTTTTGCATGTGCGAAAAGTGCATTTTTGGAAACATTTTAGGCTTAAAGTTCGAAAATGTAGACAAAAAATTTAGATAGTAATATGGCACCGTGGAGTTTCTCGCAGAAAATGTTTAGCGAGAAATTTGGCGACCTGAGGGCGCATATAAGAGTAGTTCCAATATTTCTTTATTAAAGCCTTTTGTGGATTCTGGGGCTCGGAAAGTAAATGTTTAATGGCAGAAAATTTAGAGAATTTTCAGATTGAATCTTACAACCTCATTCTCAAAATAATTTAAAAAATTCAACATTTTAAACAATAATTTTAATTTATATATGTAACTCATTAAATTTTAACAGCCTTCCCGAATTGAAATATTTCAAAAATCTTTAAATTTCTTACTAAATTGATATAACATATAAAATTAATTTTCTAAAACCATAAAATTTCAGATTGGTATTTTCATAAAACAGTGCCAAAATCCAATATTGTTAAAAAAAAGTATTTCATATTTAAATTTTTAAATAGCAATAATTATTATTATTAAATTATTAGTACTTTTCCATTTCTATTCTATGAACATTTTAGTTGCACTACCGAATGAATCTAATAAATATCTGTTGGATCATAAATCCAGGTTTAGGTAAATGGATAACATTTTGTGCAGATGTTAAAAAGAAAGTGCATTTCTGCATACATTTACTGACAGAACCTTGGAATCACTGATGTACTAAAGCTAAACACCTGAAAGTCTCATTAAATCATTTTTAATACAGCCATTGCGCTGGATTAATTAACGTAATTCAAAAGCTGGCTATGAACATTATGCACGCATAACTCTGCAGGTAAACTGTGACTTTTTTTCTGTGGGCTACAGAGCTTTATGTTTGAATTTGAGACCCAACTACGTACTATTCTGTTTTTGAGACCTGATTCAGAAATGTATGAATGTGTGTGTGTATGTATGTATATGTATACACAGACATACATTTGTGTTTACATATATACAATCTCTGGATACGGAACTGATAACAGAACAGTACCTTTTATTTATTTCATGAATTCTATAATTTAATCAACTATTTAGTCAACTAGGGAATGCTATTTTCTTCTTCAATTAAAGCAGCACTTTTCTAAATCTCTACAGCAGATTAAATTTTTTAGAATCTTATTTAAAGTCGGGGCATAATAATCGTCAAGAAAAGGTTATGGCAGAGATTTTGCGAAGATGATGACATCCTTGTGGACTCAGTGCGGTGCTTAACGATTTGGAAAATGTTGAGCTTCAATTTGCTATATTCCCTTAATTCTATATCTTGAATTGGATATTTTTCATTTCATCCTTCACACAACGCAGATGACGCAGATAATTTTCTAACTGAAACTCAAACAACGAATATCGAAAATTTTTATGAGAAAGCTAAAACCTGTATCTTTTTTCTTTCGAACTTAATCTTCGAAAATGACACATTTCGCTTTCCTATTCCTTGCTAGATAATCTACTGCCTCGTCTGTTTACATAATTATGTTTTAAAAATGTAACGGCACCGATTTAGTTTTTCTATAACAGCGCCTATTTGTTTATGTTGGCTTAAAAATATGTGTCATGTGAAATATGGAGGAATATTTAAATCAGACACGACTGCAACTATTTCTTCATGCTTTAACACCATGTCTGCAACATTTTCAAATGACACACACACATTTTTTCTGTTTTATTTAAACTATTATATACGCATCAGTTCACCATAGTTTATGTTTCAGCTCGATTTGATTCGCTTCCACAGAGATAAGTAGAAAAACAATCTTGTTCACGTTGATAATCATCGAAATCTTTGCATGTCGACTTTGATTTTAAATTATTCCATGGTGTAAATTGTATTTTTTTTTTTTTTTTTTTGCGTGTGTGTGTGTGTTTAATACAAACTACTGAAACGATAATTTGCAATGCTCGAAGAAAGGGCGCTGGGGTAAAAAATAAGACCTTCTCCGATCAGCTTATCTTTAACGGTGACCGTGTCTTCCCCCGACAAATTTGAACTGCGAACTTGGTCTTTGAATTTCGTCCATTGCTCGATTTTCAGTAATTTCTGTTGAAAAGTAGTTTTTCTGTGTGGTTTTTGGTTTTAATTCGTAAAAAAATGGAGAAAAGGATTGAGTTAGAAAAGAGAGGTAAAGATCCTGCACAGGTGAGGGTATAATTTTTTTATGTATTATGTTTTTTATCAAGCGTGATTTGTTACATAGTACTTTCGAATTAGAAGTTTAAATTTCAAGTGTAGTTATGTCGAAATGTTGAATACAACAATGAGAATTAGCGAAACCTACAGCCAAATATGTTTTGTTTAATTAATTTATTAATCAATTTAATGTGTGTACGTTGTTTGTATTTAGTAAAGCGCGGAAATATACATCAACATTGAATTGTGACTTTGGCGCCATTTTGCCATTATTTTAAAATGGAATGTTGCATTTACTGCATCCATTTTATGCTCGGTAGGATATATTAATTTAAAGTATTTTTGCATTTTAATGGTTCTACTGTGTTGTTTTAAGATAAAATTTATTTCTAAATCATCAAAATTGTTGTTTGTTTCAGAATTTTTAATATTTTTTATTTAATATAGTTTTCTTATTACGAGTTCTTAAATTCTATCTATATTTCTTCTGCATTTATGTGGTGGAATATTGTAATGGGGTAATACCGAAGAATCTAAAGTCGTTATTTAGGAAATTTAGAATAATTTATATATTAGATTTTGTAAAAAAGTGCGTGTATTTTCCCTATAAAAGAATTGGAATTATTTTAAAACTTCCCCTTGTGTAATATTTAAAAATATGTATTATATAATTCTGATACTCTGAGTTTCCTTTAATATGTGATATACAGAGGTGTAAGCTTGCTGTTAAGGTCAAAAGTGAACTGTTATTATTATTATTATTATTATTATTATTAAGTGTAGACTATGCATAGCTTAAGTGCAGTTTATTGGCTCATTGACTGCAGCTTGCATTGTATTAGGCAACAGTGTTATTTTTTAAATGTAATATGAAAGAGAGAACAATCATTAATTTTTAAATTGCATATTTTAAAACTATTGTATCATGCAAATAATCAAAGAATTAGAACAAAAAGCAAAGAAGGGTATTTGTGCACATATTTTTTCTCCGCGTATCTCATTCATATTAAGTTAAAATTAGTTAAATTGGTAGTTACATAATAACCTGTAATGTTCATTAATATTGCTGTATTTATTACTGCAGTTTGTCAGTATTTCCTTGATTTAACCCTAGCATTGGAACGGCTTGTGTATAACCCCATTTTTTCGCCAACTGTAAATATCGCCAATCTGTAACACTGTGGTCTGGCAACTTGATGTAAGCAGCAGAATTGAATTTTAGAGACGGGTTCTGAAAATTTCAAAAGATTTGCCTGATGTACCCCTTCATCTGTGTATTCAGAGAATAAATCCCCCCATATTTTAAAATGGATTCATCTACATAGTGATTGTTTTTGTCTGACTAACAAAGGTAAACTCTGAAAATCTACCTTTGAAGGATGCATCAAACCTTTTCCTTCTAACTGTTAAAATTTATGCCAGCCTAATAAAAGAACTGACCAATCATAACAAAGCAAATACAAACTGACATTCAGCATACAAGTTCGTTGGGTTTGCTGTCTATTCATCTTCTCTAAGTATTAATGAATAAACTGAGTCATGAAAAGTAGCAGAGAAAATGATAAACGTATTCTAGGTTCAAGTTATTGGAAAGATAAATCATTAGGGTAAAATCCTAGTATATGGTGCAGCCTTGGCACGATTTTGAAAATTATCAGCAACATCAAAGTAACCCATTTACTACTCATGTATGTCATGTTTACTGCTTATCCAAAAGTAGCCAAATCCCGTGTGCACCGTATACTGGGATTAAAGCATCATTAGGTGTTGTAAAGTTAAGATTAGGGGGAAAGTGCAGAATCACCCACTGCTTGGCACATTTTTAAGAATCACACAAACACTTTAAAAAAAAAGTCATAATTGCACAAATTCGGCATTGTGCACTCCCTTGACTTTGTCCATGTACACATCGATGTGTTTTCACTTAAAAAGGCAAGGGAAATTGACAAAAATCCAATTCTTTTTATTCTTCTAAAAAGTGCCAAATAAGTGAGCAGTTCTGCACTTCACCCTTTAATATGTAATAATTGTTGAATGTAGCTTTCTTTTTTTAAAAAAAAGTCATAGTTTACTGCAGTTAAGGTTTATTTATCTTAATATCCAGCGGTTGTAAAATTTCTGTGATGTCAGCCCTCCCAAGATCACAGAAAGGTATTGTTTCTGAACTTTTTTTTTTTTTTTTTTTTAACAACCTTTTCTGATTGATGTGTGCAAAACCTATCCCATATCAAAAGGGAAGGTTTCCCTAAAAGTGCACCTGTATTTTTGCACCATACATTCTGAAACCAGTCTATCATTAAGGTGTTATCCATCCAACCATTTTTGAGGGTGCAAACAAGAGACGAATATATTGTCATTTTTGGTAATGCTTTACACTTGAAAATAATCATGGTAGGCAATTTATTTTGGTAAAAATATATTTCAGGGTGTCCCTTGGCAAAAATTGGTGATTTGGCAAGCAAGGCATAATTTCAAAATGGCTGCTACACAAAACAAAAATAACAAGTTAAAGAATTGCGCAAACTCAGTGTCCATGTATGCATCGATCAATTTTCACTTCGAAAAAATCGGGAGAATGATGACTTCGTATAATGTTAAAACTAGGTTACTCATTGCCAAAATGGAATAAAATTTGTAGCGAATTGAAGCTTATTAAACTGCATTTTAAATCACACAATGAAATAAACTTAAAAAAAAAGGAAATGCATGTTATCGCATATATGCACTACAGAAAGGAAATATAGACTTACCATATTTAGAAATTTCTGTGTCTTCAGTCTGGCACACAAAATTCCTTAACAGCATCCAAACACTTTCTAAAATTATCTCAACTGGAATATGCATACTGCCATCACCACATAAATTCACAAAAATAACCTTCGTAATGCTGGACTGTCTGTGACATTTCTTTAGACCAGGGATGTCAAACTCATAGGTATACTTGGGCCAAACAAACAAGGTTTAACTTTAGGCGGGCTGCAAGAAAAAAAAAATCAGTGGTTGATCTTTGGATTATGGTAACTTGGCAATTTTTTGACGAAAATTTGGCGACCAACTCTGCTACAGCAACCCTCTATTTTTTTTTTCGCCGCCATTTTGTCTTCACGAGGTAAAGACATGTTTCTTTTCTTTTCTTTTTATTTACTCATACTTTTCCAACAATCTACCAAATTACACTTATGCTAGAAATTTTTATGTATAAAACTCTGAATCAACAAATTAACTGCAAAGGGAAAAGGAGCAATACACATAACCATTTACACATCAACTTATATTACTTTAAAAAAAATCAGATTGCACAAAAATAGCAATTGCGCACACTCTTCACTATATCCATTACGCTGCTTTTTTTCTCAAAATTAGAAAAATTTCACGAAATGCAGATCTCACGTATTCTACTCGAACGTATTCCAAAAATACAAAATATAACTCACAAAATCAACATCATTAAATTAAAAAAAATATAAATATAAATAACACATGCATTTAATTAAAAAATTAGATTACAATCCTATTACTTTAACTGAATCGTTGCTAATACAATTTTCCAATGTTCATATTAATTTATTACTTCCTTACATTTAGAACAATGCATAAAAATAAGATCCTCAATTATTAAATACTAACTTACCTAATCTTCAGAATTTTCATATTACGTGGCACCACTTCCACTATTTCATAAACACACAATGGCTTAATACAAAATAATATAGCACTACAGTTTTCATTCCCCCCCTTTCCGATTAAAGAACAGTCATTTGTCCATTAATCCGCAATTTAAGCATTTTCTTTTTCATTACACATAAACGTATAAAAATTTCGGATTTCTTTATATACGGCCATGGATCCAATTAAACAACACAGCTTCACAAACATAGAATGAACTACTCCTATAAAGTACAGCAGATATTTTTACATATATCCCCTTTCATTAAAGAATGATTCGTCCATTAATGTCACATGACATATATTATATCTCTCATTTCCCTCACACAAAATAATGCGTAATCGGAACTGAAAACTTCTCATTTATCCCAAAGTCCTAGGTATAACTTTTATCGCCTCAAAATGCGCAAACTACTGTTACCCATATTCTAAAATCAGCCGAAAATTGTTTTAGACTGATTTAGTTTTAAGTAATTAGGATTGTAAGCTAATTTTTATTAATTTAAGTTTGCTTATTTATATTTAAGTAGTGTTTATTAATTTAATGATCGTGATTTGAGAATTATATTTGTAGTATTTTGGAATACGTTTGAGTAGAATAAATGTGCATGGAAAGAATTTAAGTATTTGACACTAAGTATTTGTAAATATTTTAATGTTTGCGGAAATTCGTTGGTGACGTTTATAATATAATAGATAATTAGAGGTAAAAGCTTTTGGATATTTTATATTTTTTTTACGTGGAAATGTTCATTCTTCGAAAGGTATATACTTTTTCGCGATCAGGTAATTTCATATATGTGCTTTTACCGATTTTAAGATTAAGAAAATTTTCATGCATTTTCGTGCAAATTTTATAATTATGAGAAATAGCAGTGTAGATGGATAAAGTGGTGTGCAAGGCAATCTGGGATGTTTTTTTAAGTAAAAATAAGTCGACGTGTAAATGGTAATGGGTGTATTGTGCTATTCTGAAAAATGCGCAAGGAGTTTGTGATATGCCACTTTTCCCACTTTTTGGCAGTTAATATTTTGTCATGTAAGCAATTTTTTTAATAATTTTAGCATAAGTGTAATTCGGCTAGTAATGTTGGAAAAAGTGTTGAGTAAATAAAAAGAAAAGAAACATGTCTTTACTTCGTGAAGACAAATGGCGGCGGGGAAAAAAAAAATAGAGGGTTGCTGTAGCAGAGTTGTCGCCAAAAAAGGCCAAGTTACCATAGTCCAAAGATCGACCGAATTTTGCTTTCAAATTTGAGTTGCATTGAATCTCGATCACATCTATTTGCATATGGCTGGGTACCGAGTCAATACTTATTGAGAAAATCGAAGAAAACAAAAAA